CTTCTAAATAAGTGCTGTGACTCAAACTATTAGACCATTTTTTTGTGCAAACCTCCAACTCTTCACACAAATATGATTTCGCTGCAAATCAAAATAATTTATTGCTAGACCATGCCATTCAATAAATGTATGAGAAACATACGGACTAATATTTGCATTAAGAATAAAAAAAACTATATTCTTTATAGTGTTTATGAATTGTAACTTTTCGGTGCTTTTACTGCCTGAAATGATTGAAAAGATGACAGTAAAAAATTGAACTTAATAAAAAACAGCATAAGAGCGTAACCCACTTTCTCTGAATTTAAAATCAGTCGTGTACAGACGTTGATAATAATAGGTGCGGAATGACTAAATCGCTCTTGTGTTCAACACTTTCTATTAATATTAACAATGCACTTCTAACGTTATAATATAAAAAAATTAAATATGTCTTGTGATGGACCAGTCGTTGCATAAATATAATGAGTAATAGTCCATGGGCCCAGAAAATAAGCGAAATTAAGTAACGAACTCGAGAGATATAATCACATATATAATCTCTCAACAATATATGTACCATATTATGGTTACGAATAATGAGATGCTGCTGCAATTCATAAAATTTATTGAACAACTTAATATGTCCTCGGGATTCGATCTACGAGTTTTGTTTATACTTTCTCTGAAGATGTCTGAACCGCAGTCCTGAGGAACCATTGCCAGCAGTTCGGTAAATCCATTAATTATTTAAAGATAGTACATTTAATTGTCAAACATTCCCCAAAGTTGATTTAAACACAAATTGCTTGCAATTTTAATTAAAAAATTTAATAATGCAATTATCATGCCGGAAGAATCCTCTACAGTGCATGAGTTATATTAAATACCATATCCCAATATTTCGCATATCCAGCCAACCGCGCTGTCATCGAGAAATTACAGACCCTTGCAAAAGTAATCTCAATTTGGTGCGGCTGCAGCGATAACAGGAGTTCATTAGATAAGCTACGGCTGGAGTTCATTAGATAAGCTACGTTGGACCTTCATGCTTGGGGATTTTTCGGCATAAATTTTAAGCAGTGGCCATATGTGTGGCCATAAGAGTGAAGAGGCCATTATAAGTTTTTTAGAGCCAACGACCGCGCTCAAGTTTTCATTGTCCCAGTAATTACCGGCGCTTGAGTTTATAGTCTTGACGGAAGGAATACTTAGGACCTCAGATTGGAGGTAATGTCTAATGTGTCGTAATGTCTTAAGTGTCGAAATTTCCAATGTGTCGAAATGCCTCATGAGTCATTATGGCTCATGTGTCATAATGGTTCTTGTGACGTAATGGCTTATGTGTCATAATGGCTCATGTTACGTAATGGCCTATGCGTCATAATGGCTCGTGCCTCATCATTCCCGTTATAAATTTTGCCTCCGAATTCTCCAATGATTCTCGTCTTTAACTTATAATGCCAGAATATTTCGAATAATCTTTCATTGAATTCAGTCTAATGCTGGTAAAAAACGTTATTTAAATTGTTTAATAAATCACATATCACGAATCACGCGATTTTATTCCTTGACATTTAAATAACATCTATTACATCATTTAATTGTTGCTATATGGATTTGGGCAGCATTCCATTATAGCTACCGGTTCACCACGTACAATGGAAGAGATCGAACTATTCTTGTTGTCCGTTCATGCATTATTAAAAAAGTACAACAAATTTGGTATTTCGGACAATTATCATCTATGTTTCAAGAATCATTGACATTTCACATAAATCATTGGTGTTTTAATTATAAATAAGGTGAGCATAGAAACAATCACCGCATGACAAATTAAAATCGTAAAGAATTTTTCTAAGCAAGTTTCTCCGCTTGATCTGTCAACATGAGATAATCAAATATTGAGTTGAAATCCCGCAGACTTTCGATCGTGAGATCAACATTGGTAGCAGTTGATCAATTTTGGTCAATATTTTAAATGAGTTATTCAGAACGGTACTTTTGCCACACCGAATTAAGTAATTCCTAACTTATAATTGCACTGTATCACCAAGCGAAGTATAAAAATCAAAGCAATCTTAATTTAAATACGATATTAAAAGGAACGAATTACTATTACGTAGATGAGTGAGATAATCAATGAATATTTGAATCTGTATGGCAATACACGACTCAATATAATACAGGGTGTTTCAGAATTAAGTAACCCTTTTAATTTGTTAATAAATGAAAAACTAAGAACGTTATGAAGTTGAAACTTATTTTATTTAAAAGAAGAACATTTTCATGGTAATATTGTATCATAGTTACGTCATTATCCTGTATAGCTTGCTAAATTTGTGTTTAATTATCAAGCCTTAAATTTTCATCATGATTCGCTACAGCAAAGAAGAAAGAACAAAAATTATCGCTACAGTCAATAACGATGTCAATAACAGAAGTTCAACGTGATTACAGGATCCACTTCAAAACAAGGATCCTTCAAAAAACACATTTAAATATCTTTATCGAAAATTTGCGGATATCAAAAATTTGCACTCTCGTCAGAAACACTAATGAAGGTTGTGAAAGCAACGAAGAGAAGAGCCATATTTTGTCAAAACAATTGTGGTGGGCATTTAAAAGATATTATATTTAAAAACTAGTATACAATATTACCATAAAAATTTTCTTCTTTTAAATAAAACAAGTTTCAACTTCATTACGTTCTTAGTTTTTTATTTATTAACAAATTAAAAGGGTTACTTAATTCTGAAACACCCTGTATGAGTACATCCAATCGTACCGCATTAATCGACATTCAATAAACGCAAGGTCACCATTTTCCTGCTGCTGTTAATTCTAAAATGTACAGTTATGAGAGAAGTCTGTAATCAACTGTGAGAAAATTAGTTTAAAATAATGTTACTTATTACGATGAAAGAAACTTGAAATTTTAGAGCTGATTGCTTGTGGTTAACGCACGAGCCTTCAATTTTTGGCTGAGTCCCGAGTGACATGCGTGGTATCCAGTTATCGTGATTGAAGTTCGGAAATCTAAACAAGCGTAACCAGAATTTTGTGCCGCGCTCTGCGATATGAGACTATCAGTTTCTCACTTAAATTATCTACGTAACGTCAAGTAATGATGTCAACAAGCATGCCATTGGAATAATTTGCATAGAGATTATTCTTCAAGTTTCAATAAAAATTGCTGCAAAGAAAAAAATTCGTGATTTTTTCGGACAAAACTATTCTATCACAAAGCGGTGAAATTCAACTATTTACAATATGCCGGTGAGGCTGAAAAAATCTAATGAATGTATCGTTTCTATCTTAATTTAGTTAACTTCTCGCAAAAAAAATATATTGATGCGTGTGATTATATTGGTGACCTAATTTCATATTGGAGACCGTGATTTATGGAAATCATGCTAACAAATTTTACACTCAATTAGGAACATGCTGCGTGATGTATAGTCAGATGGGGTAAGACAGGACCGAAATCACTAACAGGCATGTAGCATCTATACCACGAATAACTAAAAAATCCTAAACTTATCATAAGGTGTGGTTATGCATTGGGCTTCAAAGCTACAACTCAGACTTCTTGCATACAACACAGTTTTCTGTACAGATTAAAAAAAGTGAGCTGGTCCCATCTTACCCCATTGGGGTAAGATGGGACCAGGCATGGGGTAAGAAAGGACCAACAGGTAATTCTTATGTTACAAGGTTTTTAGTAAAATATAAATCTGATATTCAATATTATCCATCTAGAAACACATTATTTGATTGAACAACCACTTGTTACTGTTTTGTGTTGCAGGAAGTCAACTCTAATATCAGTCACATTGGAGTTTTTGCCACGAGAAAACTTTGTTAAGCAGAGAAATAGTAGGTTGGCCTTGACTCATTGTAGAGCACTGCCAAATGCTACATGTATATTCCATTAGTGTCCTTGTCTGAAAATTTATCAAATTGGTAATAAAACCAATAGATAATAACTTAAAAGTCGGACGTCATGCGTTTTCTTGCTAACTGCATTTGTGGTGCACTTCTTCAAACATAGCCCATGCCCTCTCACAAAATTGTGATAATTATTTCACACAATGATTTTTCCCCAACCACTCTTGCACATTGTTCTGCAGCTTACTAATGGGAAGAGACATCCCTATTTTTTTCATCCCCATGATGCAATTCACAATACGTAGTATACTAAATTTATCTAATTAAAAAAGCTAACAAGTTAGAATGGTTATTTTAAGCAGAAGATGAATATTTTGACGAAAATACTCCATGTATACTTATGCACAATGATATATTCATTTAAAAGCTATTTTTGATAAACTATGGGGTAAAAGAGGACCGTTTGTGGCAATTGTGGGGTAAGACAGGACCATTTGTGGGGTAAGATAGGACCACTTGTGGGGTAAAACAGGATCATTTAGTGGTCATGTCTTACCCCATGTCCGGTCCTTTTTTACCCCATTTTAGAATAGTTGTCAGGCAGTGATGACAGCACGTAGGAATGCCTAGTATGTCTCAAAAGTTGCTTGTTACTTGAGGTTACCTGCCTACATCCACAAACCTGGCCAAAAAATTTTTTGTAACCAGACACAGCTTATTTCCCAAATAGGGTTAACTATTTTGTGACTCTTCTCTACATAGGTTTTCTTTGAAAATTAACCAAAAATTAAGTATTTGCAGAAGAGGGTTGAAACAAACACTGAAATGACAGGCAATGATTGTTCTAACATATTCTTTTGTTGAATTAAATTCAGTACAATTAGAATGCATGCAATGGGCCGGTCCTTTCTTACCCCATGAAGGCTGCGACCCTGTCTTACCCCATTTGACTATACAACTATTTGAACTTTAACTTAGAAGCACCTAGTTTTTCCGGAAAAAAATAAATGAAACTTGCCTGAGCAAAGATTAATTATACACAAAACTATAGAATGGCTTCGAAAAAATAGTTATTTCCATAAAATTAAAAATGGATACAACGAATATCGTAAAGTTAGATCTCAACTGACGAAGTTAGGAGCTGCAAGGTCCAAGTGATCCACAGGTGTGTGGTGTGACGGTGCACTGCGGAGGAGCCTCTTAGGTGTACACGCGTCGGCAGCTGCAAGCGGAATGATGGACCAGCGAGCGACCTCCACCTCTTGTAGCCGCGGCTGTCGGCGCCGGTAATTAATGAAGGGTGGTCGATTTCACGCCAGTTGGCGGTCGTGGGGGCTGTAGGTCCTTCAAATGTTCCTACAGCCAAAATTCTTTGAGAAATACAATTGAGGAATGGTATACTTCGTCGGGATAAAATATTTTATTTGGCAAAAGGATATTGAAGTGTTCTTTCCACAATTGTCAAAATGATGACTTGAAATTCTATAACTCGTGAATTCATCAATTATATACGGCAGTTTATTTTAAACTTCACATTATTTTTGACAGAGCTTGACTCGTTATTTGTTATATAATGGTCCCTTCTTTAAAGCTGCAGCTATTTGGATGAAATCGAAAAATACATTTTTTGTCACTGAGTATAACCTTAAAACTGTTCTGAGATGTTTATACAAATTTTGTTCAACTGAAATTGAGAAATGGGAGCTAACGCTCGGCTTATAACTCATAGAAAAATTTTTCAATGAAGGTGAGTGAACGGTTGTAGCCGATGTCACAGTAGTATCTTGTATTTTACCCCTCGAAATGAAAACCTAAATGAAAAACATCGATGGCTGTATTTAGGTCTCATAATTGCATGCCGACTCAGGGCTTTTAAATAGAGGTTTATAGGATATTAATTGAATATTTGCCGCTTGCAGAGCGCTGCTAGAGGAGGCCATTATTTCCGGAGGCAATAAATAATTGGTCAGTCAATTATTGGCATGAAATATGTGCCTCAAAAGCTCGTGTGATGTTTATACGTGCAACGCTGAGAAGCATGTTTTTCAGCGTGCAGGGAGTTGTACTAAAATTGTCGAGAGTTGACATAGGCGCTTATATGTGAGGTAGAAATATTACTGTGATAATAAACCGGATTGTTCGGTGCTGTTTGGTAAAAATTGGAGGTTACACCTGAGCTTGCGATCGTAGTTTTGCCTGCTTGAATTCTCAACAAAGAGAAAGGATTCACCATTTAATTTTAAATGTTTCTAAAGTATTATTATTATCCATGCCTTCGAGTGCATTGTACAGCTTGTCCGAAAAACTGATTTATTTTAAGCATTTCTTGAGACATTCTCTGAACCGGATGACAAATTACAGTAAACAAATTGCGAGATGTTAGATAATCAAATATCTGAAATGATTATTACGAGTAAATACCTTGAAATACCTCATTTTTGAGTGACGCATGTAGCAATAAACAAATATTTATTGTGAATATCTCCATATCAAATAAGCGTTTGTGTGGCTCGACATTGCCTCCGCATTACTTTGAAGACCGAACGCATTTGGGATCTGTCGGAGCCACAGCCTTCTGCCGATGGCTGGTGCACATTCTTTGTGAATATTATGATATACTTTCCTCTCGCACGCATATCCCTTGACCACGACTTATAGTTATTCATAAGATATTTTTGTTAGAGGTGTAACTGACCTCCAAACACTGGATCAAACGTCATGCAATCGCAGCACGTATACATATGATCAATGAACTTTACAATGATCATGTATTGGGCATCGCCGTCGCCTGCGTATTTTTGTTACAAATATGAAAATCGCAGTACTATGAATTTTGGTAACATGAACATTACAGACCAAAGATCACCGCAAGTGGGCTGTGAAGTGACGCACAAGATATTCCATATTAATATCAATGATTTGAGGAGCTTTCTTTAGCAATTGTTTGAGGTTTCAAGAGAATGACAGTGAAGTACTGAAGATTTAAGAATCAGTAATGTTGATCATTTAAAATAAAAATTACGAGTAGTTTTGAAAATGGGGATAATTTTTTTAGTGTAACTTTATTTACTGAAGCCCGAATATGTACAACGCATAGTGAAAAAAAAAATGTTTCCAGCGAAAATAAGCAAACCTTTCGATTTCAGTGATACTCAAGGTACAAAATTTCTGATAGCAAGTGTACGCATTATGGGCGTTGCCACACGTTGTAAATTTGCAAACACGTCTGCAAAAACTTTTTTTCATGATTTACCCTTTATTCCTAATAAATTATTGATAAAATGCATTCTGTTAAATTAGTAGCTTTGATTTAGGTATCGTTAGATGTTGTTTTGAACAGTGAATGTCGGATTGGTATGACTAAGCAATTGGTGTGCTGGTCGAAGTAATTCGATTCTTTTAATATATAAATATATTTTAATGCGTCTGATATTGAATTTACATACGTTGCATTTGAGAAACACTGGCTAAAACATTTTTTGTTTAATTAGCGCATCTTTCACCAATCGAAGTTTCATATTTATTTTATTTCACTAAACTTAAAAGTTTTATTGTGATGAGTTCTTCCATACTATGCCCAAGGGATTTCGGGTTTAACCTCAAACGGCACAGTTTTTCAATACGATACACATGGCTGAACCATGACGATACCAACATTAGCCAACGTCTGGTCTTAGGCTACTGTATGTGCTTGTACATACGCATCTGTATAGTATATACCGCACACTGTGTTCAGTGTACTAGCCTATACGGCCACAGCGCCTCTGATGGTCGGAAAACTATGAGAGGATCTTCGCTGAGAGTGAGAAACTTGCAGCCATAAGTGAACGGGAACAATTAGTCGGCTTTTAGTAGTGCAGCTGTTGTGGCATGTTGAGCCAAATGAACAAAAGTTCCGGAATAACCTTATATTGCATTCTCTGAGCGTAGCCTCACAATGTAAGTGAAAAAATCAGTGATGCTGACATAAAAAATGTTCATTCTTACTTCACGTAGGAAACGCATAGGGCAACATGGGGGCAGCGCGCCCCCCCCTTTATTTAAACTAAATTTTTGATTAAGTTTTAATTGATACGAGGTGGTACTTTGTTTTGTTTAAAGGTGCAACTAATGAGGAATGTATGATGTGAATTAGGCGCCTATAGAGTTATTCAATTTTTAACGAAACACTATTTTGTAAAAAGTGTCCAAATGGGCCCATTGCCCCACCCCTGGGGCAATGGGCCCATGGGCTTGGGGCAAGGCGCCCACCCTTGGTCCCTTCACCACAATTGCATAATTTTCGTTTAAAAATGATAAAACAACACTTTACAGTTAAAAATAAGAAAAAATGTATTAAAAAATATGATATTCATTCATTTTATTAACAACTCAAAAAATCATATCCTTAGCATGAAAAAAATATACCCTTGGCTTAAAAAATCTATCACTGACGTGAAGAAAAATATTTCATTGACATAAAAATATATATATCCTTGACTTGAAAAATATATCCGTGCGATAAAAAATTCGTCCTGACATGAAAAAATGTATTCTTGACTAGAACTAGAAGAAATATATTAAGTTGATCAGAAAAAAACTTCGTTCCAGTTTTGCCCATAATCCAGATATTATGTGCAGAGAATTCGTACTTAATCGTGATTTCATCCAACACCATAAAAACTCATCAACTTTTGGCTCATTGGTGTTGGCTGAAATCAACTTTTGGCAAGGCAAGAGTCAATAACTCGATAAGGGGTCATAAATAATAATAGACATCGTTGGCGCTCCAAGTATGAACGCGTTCAAGAACAGACTAGATAAAGCTATGTAAAAATATATGTTCAGATTTGAAATGCCTAGCTCCTTATCGAACCCGGTGGAAGTCTAGTAGCTTCTTCAAACTATCGCCAGTCATGAAAAGATCCGGTCAAATGACACGAGTTTAGATCTATGAACAAGGCACGAAATGGAAAAGAATCGGCGACAGGCCACATCAGGCCTACACTTCAGAGCCGACATCACTATGTTATGTTAAATACACATAACTAGAAACTAAACCTGCTGCCATGAGCCTGTTGAGGCTCATGGCATCGGCGACAGGCCACATCAGGCCTACACTTCAGAGCCGACATCACTATGTTATGTTAAATACACATAACTAGAAACTAAACCTGCTGCCATGAGCCTGTTGAGGCAGCAAATCGAAAAATCATGCAATATGAAGTGTAATATGTAATTAAAAAAGCTAGTCATAGTTTTGAAAAAGTCATTGAGGCAAATCTAATGATGTATGATGTATAACACAAGACTTCACCATGGGTGCTTCGTCCCGTGACACGCATGGGCCCGTTGCCCCCACTAGGTATCCTTTCAATTTATATCGTGTCAACATTTTATTTTAAAAGCTAATAGTCTAAACTTGATCACAAAATTATACCTATGAATATTACTTTTAAAATATAATTAACAGTAATTTCAAAAGCTTCATCTACAGTAATCAAAAACAGTTTTTTTAGCAGCAAAAAAAAACTTTATCTGGGCTAAAACAGTTATCCACAAATATCTTAATAACGCAAACACTTAGCAAAACGTAAATCCGTACACTTCACCCTAGTGAAACTGTCGACCGGCGGTAGAGAACACGGACCAATATCTGCCATACTTAGCGAGAAACCCGCTATGGGCCCATGACCCGCAGTGGGCTCGCTGCCCCATGTTACCCTACTCAATATTTTAAGTTAAATGAAAATAGCTACCGATGCACAGTCAAGACGCAGTTAACATTGAAACAGCCGATGTTTTCTGGCTTTATCCGAGTAACATGATGCGCGTAGATATCTTTGATTACTTTACAAACTCGCACGATACATGACAGAATTTGAGATTAGGGAGATTGCTCGTTACTATTACGTGGAGATTATTCCTTCTTTTGATTTTTGTAGGAAGATTAACGCCAATTAGCTGTTGTTTCCAGATAAGGTATTGGCCTTTTCTGTGATTTATTCCTAGTCCCGTGGTAAAATACAAAAGTTAGACGTGTCTTTTTTATGTTTGTTTGTACTGGCTGTGAAATTCACGACTATATATCCAACACTACAATGCGGGAAACAATTTTGTTGTACCAAAATTAAGGTTTAGCGGTCCATGTCCAATGGGGATGAAAATCAGCATGGCAGGTCGGAAGTAACCTAACGAAAACTAACTTTCACTTTGGGACATTACTCCGA